GCAAAGTTTGTTTCTCATGTTGAGTGAAAGAACGTGGAAGACATGAAGTGTGTTGTAGCTCAAATTAATGAATTATACGTCAAAGTGAGCTATTTGTGTTGAATCTTGATTTGTTTTTTTCGTACACCACCCATTAATCACCTTAAGCTATAGCCTATAGGATAAAGTAGCCCTCTTGACCAGCCCAAGGTTCCAAACTCGTACATTGTTTATAGCTACACATTTTAGGTTGAAAACAAAAACCACTTTATAATAAGGGTAGGTAAATTATCATTAAAATTTGATCCTATCTAATAAACTACATTTGCCTATCATCATTCTATGACATCCTTGTGTATATAATCAAAAAATGGAACAACTGTTAAAAAAAACACATGGGCTAATTAAATTGTTATATAATATCGAATGCAGGTCACATACTTCAAATGCGGCGGTGTCTCATTGGGCGTCGGGATGCAACACCATGCGGCGGACGGCTTCTCGGGCCTCCACTTCATCAACTCGTGGGCCGACATGGCCCGCGGGCTGGATCTCACCGTCCCCCCCTTCATCGACCGGACCCTCCTCCGGGCCCGCGACCCGCCCCAACCCCAGTTCAAGCATGTCGAGTACCAGCCACCGCCCACCATGAAAACCCTGACAGAAAATGCCGAAAATGCCCCTCCTCCCGAGACCCGCGTCTCCATATTCAAACTGACGCGCGAGCAGCTCGCGACCCTCAAGTCCAAGTCGAAGGAGGACGGCAACACGGTCGCGTACAGCTCCTACGAGATGCTGGCCGGCCACGTGTGGCGCTCGGCCTGCGGGGCCCGCGGCTTGCCCCCCGACCAGGAGACGAAGCTCTACATCGCGACCGATGGGCGGACCCGGCTCCAGCCGCCCCTGCCCAGGGGGTACTTCGGAAACGTGATATTTACGGCCACACCCCTGGCCGCGTCGGGGGAGCTGGAGTCGAGGCCCGTATGGCACGCGGCGAGCAAGATCCACGACGCCCTGGCCCGCATGGATGACCAGTACCTGAGGTCGGCGCTCGACTACCTGGAGCTACAGCCGGACCTCCGGGCGCTCGTGCGCGGGGCCCACACCTTCCGGTGCCCCAACCTCGGGATCACGAGCTGGGTCAGGCTACCGATCCACGACGCGGACTTTGGATGGGGCCGACCCATCTTCATGGGGCCGGGCGGGATCGCATACGAGGGCTTGAGCTTCGTGCTGCCGAGCCCGACGAACGACGGGAGCCTGTCGGTGGCGATTTCTCTGCAGACGGAGCATATGAAGGTTTTCGAGAAGTTGCTTTATGACATTTGATTTGTTGCCTTTTTTTCCCTTTTCTTTCTCAGTTTAATTTAATTGGAGCCTGTAAACTATTTGGACGTGTTGGAAATTGGTGTTGGTTTTCGTTTTCTTTTTGTTTCTATTGAGTCAATTGCATAACCACACTAATGTTCATAAGTGGCTTGAAATTAAGCTGCCTTGCTGATTGGATATGCTAATTGTTGTTCTGTAAAGGTTGTTATGGTGCAAATTTTTTGCATCACCCTCTTAATGCAGTCAGTTATGACTGCTACATCTTTTGCGATCAGCAAGTAAAACCCAAAACACCAAATACATAAAAATAAAATGGAAAGCTGAAAAATTTAAAATCAATTGGGAAAGAGAATAAGCAAGACTCGTAACCAAAGCTGAAAAGCTAGAAATAGATAAAATATGAAACTAACAATCATGAACAAGCTGAACAGATCGAGCATAACTGAAGAGGAGTTGTTTTTATAAGTCGTGGGATGGTGAGCGACGCTTGCTACACTGTAGGACCCTTTGCTTCCTTGTGCCTTTTTGTCAGTGTAATAATCTCCGACATCGTCATCTCTCTTCGATCACAAGTAACTGAGTTGTTTGAGAAGCTGAAAACATTATTTTTAAGAAATTGATGATATTATTGGCTTTTGACCAGGGTATTTTGGGTCTATTAGTTGGAGCTCGTTTGGGAGAATCCAGAGTTTCTTGCTCTTGTTTGTCTTGGAATTTTCATGAACAAAACTAAATGGAAGGAAATCGATATTCCAAATAATATACGGAATTTACCTATAGATAAGATCGATTCTAGATAATTATGGTCATTCTTGTATATTAATTAGTCATGATTGAGTAATTAGGAGGACGGAGATACTCTTGTAATTATATATATTCATTCATTTGTAACACTTTGTAACACTCTTGTTCGAGTGCAACCTCTTTGGGTCTTTTCTAGATGTTTTTCCTAAACTCATATCAAGGCATTTTGGACCTTTAAGCCCAAATAATTTGGCCCCTTTAAGGCTTCAAAACCGACAGGTTGGGTTGATAATTTACAGGCCCGCCAAAGAGCGGGCCTAAACGGGTTAGCCCGCTGATGAATAATCGTGTGTCCCGATTGTCAACAAGCCACGCCCGCGCTTCTCGCCTGCTCGCGGATGATCCACACGCTAGCCTCCTGTCACCCGCAGCTTCGCCGATCACATTCTTCGCGCCATCCGCCTTTCGCGTGGTTGAACCGCACGTGAGTCGCCGGTCGCGAATTGCCCGCCGCGTCTTCATCGTCATCCTCGCGTCGTGCAGTCTTGCGCGTGTCATTCCTCGCGCGACCCATTCCCGCGTGTCTTGTCATGTGACTCACGCGTGTCGCGTGTCTGCGTGTCGCAAGATTTCCTCGCACGCGGTCATTTATAACCTCCCTTGCGGCGTTCCGACGGTTGTCCTGATCCTTTGCACGTCTTTACTCGTGGCTCCAGCTCGATCCGTCCTCGGGTTCAGAAGGGTCGATGACCACATCTTCATCATTCCCGCCATCTTTAAGAATTTTCTTATCCTCAAGGATAATGAACTTGAGACTCTTCAATTCGACTGGTTCGGTTCCTTCGTCGCTTGAGCTCAACTTAATTTGCTTCTTCGCCCTTTCGAACTCCATGGTCCCCTTCTTGTAGTTTGGTTTTCATGGGCACTAGCGTCTCCAACCATTGGACCCCCAATACCACATCGGGTCCCATCAATGGTAGCACATAGAGGTCAACCTTCAATTTCTCTCCTTGTACTTGTATGGGCACCTTCTTGTATAACATCGAGCTCTGAAGTTCTTCGCCATTCGCGACCCTCACTCCAAATGGTACGACTCCGGTCATTGGGACTTCCAACTTTGCGGTGAAGTCCTTGTTGATGAAGTTAAGTGTCGACCCACTGTCGACTAGTAAGTCGACTTTTCTTCCTAGAATCTCCGCATCAAACCTCATCATCTTGGGCCCTCGCTTTGCCTTCATCATATGCATCATTTCCATATAAGTGCGCTCCTTCATCGCGCTCTTCCTCGGGGTCAAATGTCTCGAGTAGGTAAACTTTATTTCCTTTGCATCAGTGCCCGGGCGTGAATGGTTCGTTGCACGAGAAGCATAGTCCCTTCTCGCGTCGCTTTTGTATTTCCTCGGGACTCAACCGGCATATGAAACTCAGCGGTCGTGTCACTTCCGCAGTCTTCTCTCTCTCGGGTTGCGGTGGCTGCTCGGGAACCGTGTTTGTGCGTCGCGGCTCCGTACGCCCATCGCCGCAGCCTACCTTGCGGATAGCGACCAAGTGGTCCTCGCACATTAGTGTGGACTCCATGGCAGCCCTCATCGATCGTGGCCTGTCGAGTCGGACCTCGGCAACAAGTTCGGCCTTAAGTCCCCCAATAAACGAGCCTACGAGTGCACTCTCAGGCCAATCGCGTACACGACTAGCAAGGCGCTCAAACTCTTTTTGGTAATCACGTAGACTACCACTTTGCCGTATTCGAGATAGAGCCTCGTCATAGTTGTAGTAATCACTAGACCCAAAACTTGTGATAAGCTCTTTCTCGAAATCTCTCCAATGTATGCGCATGCCTTTGCCCTTGTAGACGTGCGAGATGCATTGCCACCATACGTTCGCCTCACCATCAAGATAATAGGCGGCTATTTTGACCCTCTCGGACTTGGGCACGTCATTGATCTCGAAAAATTACGTAGCCCGACTTAACCACGCGTCCGGGTCGGTCCCCGTGAATGTTGGCATCGTGAGCTTGGGCTTCTCGAATTTTTTCTCCTCGCGTCGGCTTGACGCCCGCGATCTCCTCGACCGTCGATCATGGTCCTCGCGGTCGGACTCGGAAATGCTCGATCGAGCCATGGTCGACCTCGATCCATGACTCCTTCGCGGATGCCGTGTGGCTCGTGGTAGTTGCTCGGCCAATTCGTGTACCATGAGCTCGAGCTTGGCGAAGTTCTTGTTGGTGGCGTGTTGGCCATCGCAAAGGAACTCCAAGCTCTCTTCCAACATCTCGATCCTTTCCTTATGCGTACCCGTCATTTTTTTTTGTAATACCTCACGAAAAGAAAAATTCAATATATATATATATATATATATATATTTTAGATACTCACGAAAAGATCAAAAAGAAAGAAAGAAAATTTCAAAACAAAAGAGGATGAAAAAGTTACGTAAGACACACGATTGATATCTCTCAATGAAAGCACCAATGATGAATAATCGTGTGTCCCGATTGTCGACAAGCCACGCCCGCGCCTCTCGCCTGGCCGCGGATGATCCACACACTAGCCTCCTATCACCCACGGCTTCGCCAATCACATCCTTCGCGCCATCCGCCTTTCGCGTGGTTGAACCGCACGCGAGTCGCCCGTCGCGAATTGCCCGCCGCGTCTTCATCATCATCCTCGCGTCGTGTCGTCTTGCGCATGTCATTCCTCGCACGACCCTGCCTCGCGCGTCCCGTTCCCACGCGCCTTGTCATGTGACTCACGCGTGTTGCGTGTCTGCGTGTCGCGAGATTTCCTCGCACGCGGTCATTTCTAACCTCCTTTTCAGCGTTCTGACGGTTGTCCCGACCCTTTGCACGTCTTTTCTCGTGGCTCCAGCTCGAGCCGTCCTTGGGTTCAGAAGGGTCGATGACCACATCTTCATCACCCGCGTAGGCCGTGAGTTTTGTCGGGCCGTGCCAGACAGGCTGCGGGCCAGCCCGTCATCAAATATGTTTTAATTTTAATTTTTTAAAATCTAGCCCAATTTAGAATTATACCACTTTTAAACTCATTTCTCACAATCTCATCATACGTTTTTCTAACTTCTCAATTTCATAAATATGAAAGGGCCGAAGGCCCAAAACAGACCGACCCATCTGTCTTAAAACCCAATCTGTACTCTCAACTCTATTGCCAAACCCTAGCGGCGGGGATAAGGATTGGACTGAAGATGACAAAGAGAGGGATGGCCACGGCCAGACCAACGAGGGTCCCGGCGAGTATGAAGCCGGCCAGGCCGAGGAGGGTGTCGCTGATGGGGAGNNNGAACCCGGCGAGGTCCCAGCGGGGCCGAGGAGGGAGTCGCCGATGGGGAGGAGGCGGCGATGGCCAAGATCTGGGGAGTTGAGGGACCCCCGTCCTTGAGGGGTCAGCGGTCTTCGCCGGCGGTCTTCACCCACAGTTCTGTGCGACCGTCGCGTGTGATATCTACAAGCCCTTAAGAGCTTCCGAGGTTCGTATTTTATGCTTTTGTGTTCAGGACTGTTGCCTTTTTCTCTTATAAGAATTATTGTTTTGGCCCTTTAAATTGGTTAACCATTTTTGTCTATTTTTCATTGATTAATTTGTTTATTTGTCTCTAGGCAAAGAAAAGGCCAGCCATTAACTTCATGGGAAGAGTGCAAAAAGACATTAATGGCAGCATGCGTGCGATTCTTATTGATTGGCTTGTCTATTTGCCTATGTCACCTTCTTTTGTTTCCTCTTTTTGGGAGAAAGTTAGTTTCAATTCAGTTTCAATTTTCTGCTTAAGTGAGTTTATATAGCGGTTATTTGACAACTTACCTTTGTTATGAATGTGTTGTCCATGGATTATTGAAAGATATAGATGCTTGAACTTGGGCGGGGTCTGGAACAATTACTGTGTGCTTCTAGAAGAGGTATTATATACCTCTTTTTTTCATTTAACTTGTTTTTCTTAATAAATGTTGAAGTTGGTGTCACTTCACCGTGTCAATAAATGAAATCCTTTATGAGTACACTATGGTCAATCTATACAACTTTTGATCTACACCCCTCAATCTAGGAGCTGAATTACACATGGGCATACAACCTTGTCAAATGGAACCTGACCAGCATTAGAACATGGTCATGGGTAGTTGGTAACATAATAAGATTTCATGATATAGCATAAATCTATGGATAAATTTGATGTGTTATAACTAAATGTGTGTTCACTTTTAGTTGGTATATGAGAAGAATTCCGCTCTATCAAGACAAAATCTTAGGCTGATTTAGGATGCACAATATGATTTCCATTGCTGGAGTTGTCATCCATTTGTACGTGTATTTTCCTTTACCTCTCTCTTTCCTTTTCCTTTCTTTTTTCTTTTTTTAATCTCACAAAAGTTTTTTATGAGTGGCACATTTAGTTATTTCTAGTGCTTTTAAATCTATTAATTGTCACGAAAGTTTTTGGCCAAAGTTTTTGTTGTTCTGACATTTTATCGGTCTTGTCTACGAAGGCATCAACTGCAAGGTCTAGTGTTTTTCTATTGAGGCCACTGTTTGCATATGGTTCGTCCACATCATGGTGGGGCAAGTTCACATCTTGGCGTGGCGCTTTTGGATCAGGATGTGGCCGGTATACGTCCCAATTTGGCTCAGAACCTGGATCTTCATCTCACTTGGTGATGTTTTACTTGACAATAGTAACTGCTTTTGAAATGCTAGTACATGACACATGCTTCTCTTTTAGTTCGATTTTTTAGTAAATAAATTAAACTATTTTATACCACTTTCCATTTATATTTATGATTTACCCCATTTCGAATCATAAAAGATTAAATTATGAAATCTCAGCATATGAAAGTTAGATATGGGAATAAAAGAAATTATTATAGCATTGCTCTAATGTAATTAAAAGTAGTAATATTGAGGTCATGATATAAAGAGAAAATCTATGAACCTAAAACCAACGTAAAACAAAATGAGTGGAAGTGAAAACAATATTTTGGAGGACAATGCACCAATAGAATTGCAAATAATTCAAATGCTTCATTCCAACATTAAAAAATGTTTTCATCCCCCTTCCCCTTTTTGTGTTACTTTTTTGAAAGAAAGGTATGCAACGTTATCTTGCGAAATATCTAAAAGATCTTGGTCGCTCGATAAGATTCAAGAGTAGCATGATTCAATAGCAACTTCTTATAGTATCTTTTGCCTTCATCGTACATTTTGAAATTCTTTGATTTCACTATCAAAAAAATTATTAATGTTTTTGGCAATATTTTCATTGTCATGTCCCTTATAGATGTATTTATAAAGATACTTCATTATAGTAATTTCTAAACATTTCTCAAGTCAATTCATATTTCTTGACAAGAGATATGGATTGCAAGGAATGCTCATTGCTTGTCTTTGGGAACTCGAACTATCAATTCATTATTCATTTTGGAACTGTGTATTTATCCTTACCTCGTATGGTGTTCTAATAAATGCATGTGGATGACGAATTATTCTTTTTTTTTTCTTTGTGACTTGTGCTTCATGTGTCTCATCAGTAAATTAGACTATCTAAGTTGACTTCAAACCATGTAAAAGATGAATGTTTGTTCAAAATTTTGTAAGTGAAGAATTCATATAATTTGTTGATGACCTCAATGAAAGTTCAACTTTGTTTTGCATCATCACAGGAAAATCTCTAGCACTTGAATTCATCTCATAGAACTACAACAACTACCCAAACACACATGTCCATTTATAGTTGAACTTGAAAGACATCACACATTTTGATCATATAAGTTTTTTTTTTCAACGAACTTAATTTTTTATGGCTATGTTTTCTGGTTTATTATTGTAATGAATAACTTATTTTAATAGCTAAGTTATTTTCCTAAGTGTGGGGGAATCAAAACTTTCCTACATATGTTATTTGATGAATAATCAAATAACTAATAGTTGCTAACCCTACTTTTTGACAACATTAAGTTATCTAATAGATCACATGAAAATTGCTGAGTAGATAACACAATTTTTTCAAAGACTATATTGCTAGCCTTAGTCGGATAAATGAGTTTAAAATCAAGCGAATTAAAGGAATTTCTGCATTGTCAGCTCCCATAAGATTTGCCCCCATATTCTCCAATTTTCTATTGTGCTTGTTTTGGAGAAATAAAATTACAATTTTATCCCCCCTAATTCTCCAATTTTTTGTGTTCTGATGTGACTCCTTTTGGGAATTTGAATTACAACATTGTGGGTGAATAGTGTTTGGTAATAACTAATAACTATCTGAGTGAGTGAAAAATGTTTTTTTTTTTTGGTTGGAATATATAAAATAATAATTGATTTTTCTTTTTAGATTATTTTAGTGGGCATGTAAAACAAAAGTGAGATGGAACAAATTGTGTCTTTTTGTGAAAAATTTTATTCTTTCTCTATAACTATTTTAATGTAATAAGTCTTGACTAATTTCTTTTGTTTTGCATGTCGTATAGTCGAAACAAATTCTCCTTCATGGATTATAGTACTTGTTGGCTTATTTTGTCATTTTTTTTTTGTTTTGCAAGTCATTGTATATTTGCCATGTTTTTATAGGTCATTGCACTAATAGCACACCCTTACCAGACTAGTTCCATTAATATTTCTTTGGTTGCATGTTTGATAAAAGAATTTTTTCTTTGTTGTATACTGGATAAAAACGAATAAGCCCTCATTCTGGTTTTGGTTTTGTTTCCCGAGTTCTTCCCAAATCAGGAGGCATTAAGTTCATTGATCATACTTTAAGATCAAATCAAGCTTTGGTGAAATTGTGAAAAGTAAGCTTATGTACAAGAGAATAATCTTACAACTGACGTAGGCAAGAATAGATATGCAACGCTTGAGAGCTGTTATGCGAAGCTTAATGAATAGATAATTTTTTTTTAAATTAGTTAATTCAGTTTATTCCTTTTGGTAGTATTTTTGTTTATAAAAAAAGTTTCTATATATATCATTATTTTAATTAATAGTATGTGTATTCAATAATATTCTCAAAAAATTAATCGTATTTGTATTGAATAATATTCTCCAGATATCAAACATCAAAACAAGATGAAGAATAAACGTTGTATGAAGATTGGTACTATGAGTTTCGTCATACCAAATATGGACTCACGGATTGCGAAATACTTCAACCTTTTCAACCTTTTGTTGGATGTCTATGAAAATATCATTCAAATGAACCCTAGTAAGTGAAACATTTAATTCATATTTGATTCACATTGCAACCTGATTCTTTATATAAGTTTTTGTTTATTTGTTTATATTTTTCTAGAAAATATTTTTTGAAAAGTTGTTTTAAAGGCTTTTCTGAAAATTTAAAAATTGTTTTGGGAAGCTAAAGACAACTTTAGATGCCAGGTTCTATAAATTCAAAATTTTTTTGATCATAATCGCCAACAAAGCTTAAATTCAAGTTGAAATTTGAATCAAATATGAATTAAATGTTCAACTTACTAGGGTCATCGTATTTTCAAAGATATCCAACACAAGCTTGAAGTATTCCCCCTGTGAGTCCAGTATTTGTATGAAGAAACTCATAGTACGACTCATCTTCCTACAACTTAGATTCATCAAGGTTAGTTTGATGTCTGCAGATGTTATTCCATATAAATACTACCATACAAATACTATTAAAATAATGATATATATTAAAAGAATGATATATATATATATATATATAAACTTTTTGCAAACAAAATACTACTAGAAGGAATAAATTGACTTAAATATTTTTTTTTAAAAAATACCTATTTTTTATTTGTTGCATATTTAATCAGTTGCTTGTTAGCTTGTTGAGAAATGATGTAAGATCATTATCCTCTACATGAAGCTTAACTTGCGCTAAAACTTGATTTCATCTTAAGGTATGACCAACGAACCTTAATGTCTCAGGATTTGAGCCGAACTCAATTGTGGAACGTATGCGCCTAACTAGGTCAAATTCTTTTATCCATTAGAAAACAAAGAAATATTGATTTACACTTGGTGACAAGTCAATATCCATCATACAACGAAGAAATATTGATTGACACTTGGTGGCAGGGGTCTGCCTGAATAGCAAGACCTATATAAATGCAGCACAAAGACAAATATAACTATATGACTTTCAGAACATATAAAAATCACAAAATAAGTCAACTGGAGAAATTTTGGAGAAATTTTGTAACTATACGAAAAAATAATTATTTGACATGAAAAAAAAAAGAATTAATCGAGACTTATTTCATTAAAATTGCTTCAGAGAAAGAATAAAAATTTTCACAAAAAAAGACACTTTATTCCCTCTTACTTTTGTTTTACATTCCCACTAATATCTCTCATATATATAAAGGATTTTGAGGCATTTAGAGGTAGACACGTGTCCTTTGTGAATTGTCATAAATGCCCTTTTTTTTTCAATTTGCAGTGACTAAAAATGTCACCGTTTTGGGTGATTTTTGGGGGTAGAATTGTCACTATAGTAGGACACTTTTTATTTTCTGGCTCTTTGCACGTCTCCCTTCTTCATCAATAACCGAAAAAGGACGCCTTTTTCCTCCGCGTCTTCCCGAAAAGACGAGAGAAGAGCACTCATTCTTCTTCATTTTCCATATCTTGGCTCGGCTTTGAGCTGTCGCCTGACGCACCTACCCTCACCATATGGTCCGTCACTCTGGCCTCTGAGCCGACTGACGAGTGCCAGCGAGCGGCTAGTGTTCGAGCTGAGTCATGCGGATTGGATGAGACGTACTGACCACCGAGGACATGTGCACCAGCTATTTCAGAAGACTTTTCGTAAACTTGCGTATGGAATTTAATGGTCATAAAGGGAAAAACAATGGGAAAAACTTGAATCTTCAGCCAAGCACACACACGCACACACACATTTTTGGTGTATGAAAAATAAGTTGGTTTTTCATATGTTGTTTCAGGATTCTAGCTGCATGTGGCTTTTCTAACATACCAGGTGAACTGGGAACCTACCGGGACCCAAATTTCTGTAAGACCTTTTATTTTTGCCCACTATATGTTGATTAAATTTCTAAGAGACACACTTTTTTTTCCCCAATGATGCTTTGTTTTTACTTTTAAAGACCCCTGAAGTCGAATAACTTGACTGCCGTTCTTATGATTTTTATTGATTCTATTTGAAATTTTTGGATTTTTGTGTTGTTTGGCCTGCACCGAGCCAAGAATAAGGAATTTTGCTCGACTTGTGAGAGTTAGGGCTTTGAGTGTTCGATTGAGGTGAATCCCCTTTTTTTTGGGGCGGTACTGTCACTGTTTCTGTTTGTGGATAGGTTTTGCTGAGGATGAGAGAAATGGTTGGTGGTGAGGGATTTCCGACAGAAGATCTGAGTGAGATGCTGATTATAGCTTGCAGAATATGGAGGTGAGTCTCTTGGCTGGAAATGTTTGGGTGAGACGAGAAGAACGTAACAGCTGAATTCTGGTAGACGTTAAATAATTATTTTGAGTGTTTGCTCTCAGTGTCGGTTATATGAAGACTTTACAGGTCAGATTAATTTATGTGATTGGAGTTAAATGATGAGTATAGTTGAGAGGGTCAGAAAAATTGACTTTACAGGCCAATTTATATGCTGAGGTTGGTTGATAGCGTGCTCTTACTGCCGCTGTGAGAAGAACAAAATTTGACGAAAATATTTGTATCTGAAAACAAAGAACTGAGAGCCAAAAATTGACAAAATCTTGGCCTTTCTATTATGAGAAATCAATAGCTTTATTTGGTATTAAAAAAGGGAAAACTAAGGTTCAATTCAGCTACATTTTCTCATTTTATTAATTTTTTCTCTCTCTTTTTTTTTGTTGTGTTAATGAATGTTTATGAAAATATGAGATTCAAAGTTGCATATTGAGATTAGTATCTGCTGTCACGGATCTCTATTTCCAGATTTTCGATTTTGTTGCTTGGTCTTTTGATCTGGTGCCTTGATTAATTGGTTTTGTGGATTTTCAATGAAATCTTTTAGTATATTTGTTATTTTGTTTGTGCGGTTAGGCAGGCGATATTAAACTACTAAGGTCACTGAACAAAGAGGATATGAAGGGAAATCATCTCCTCTGAAGCCCCCTGCCTCAGGTTATGCAAAGTCCTTTTGTTAATTGAGATTGGAAAGTGACTGTTGTTGTTTTTATAGACTATTGATTGAGCTACTGATTATCTAGATTGAGTTCTCATTACTTTCTTAAATGCAGGTTGGATTTGGTTGCCCCATCGTATTCTTGGAATGAACTCGTTACCCTGAGAACTAAATATTGTGATTTGATTGCAAATTCGCAACTTTCCCTTACGGTAAATGGTGAAGTTTTATTATTGTGCTTATAATTGGCACAAATTATTATAATTGTTTTATTAAGTGTTAATCGGACATGTATATATAGGTCTATGATGTTTCTTATGGAAAAAAATGAGGCAGCATCTATTTAACATGAAAAAACAGCTCAAGACAGGTAAGCATAAGCTTAGACTTTGAGCGGGAAAAGAAGCCGATGGTTGTATTAATACAACGCCAGGGAATGTATGGAATATTCTTTTTTATTGATATTGTGCTGTTCGGTATTTGTTTTAATGTTCGTGTTGTCACATGTTCCAAAAGAGGAGCGGGGATAACTAGAACGTCTCGAGAAGCTTGTAAATAAGTATAAGAGAGGACATATTCAAAGAGTTGAATGGCTAGACCTACCTGCATTTAAAGCCGTGGAGAAAAATTAGTAACATGGAAGCATAAAAAGTGGAGGTTCCAATTTGTACGTTGTAGTCAATTTCTGTAGTTTCAAACATCAAGTGGTTTTCCAGGTAAATTTTATGGGCCTGTTGGATTTCTTCATCCTCTTGAATGTATATTAACCTGAATTCCATGGTTATCTATATGAATGTTGTATTTAAACTGTCAATGAATCCTTTTATTTCATCTATGACCTGCATTTTCTATGCATTAGTGAACTTTCTTAGTTGAAAACCCAGCTATTTTATTTGTTGTCATGCTACAAGAACATAAAGGCTGACATACACTCTTACCTAATGCAGACGTGGCATGATCTTATTATTTCAAACATTTCATCATCATCCTTAAAATGAACTACTAGATTTCCATGTTACTTATGTTAAACTATATGTCAGACCTTTCTTGTACAAGCAACATTTCCCTTTATCTTTTGTAATAAATTGTTGGGTTTGAATTTTGTTGAAGATAACCAGTCAGCTGAAGCAAATAGACAAACACCAGCCGAGCTTGAGTCGCCTGACCTTGTGTGTTGTGTGATATTTATGATAAATAATTTTCTCCCGGTTCCTGCTAAACACTAATATATACATTTTGTAGCTTCATTATTTGGTTATCAAATAATTTTAATGATGACTTTGGTGTGCATGAGTCTGGTGCAAATTTCTTAAGCATTATTTTAGCTTAACTTAAGCTTTTTTTTTTGTGTGTCAGTTGTCATATTTGAATGATTCTCCTTCATCCACATGCCCAAATCTATGTCATTTCTTCAAGAAAAATGTATATAGCCTCTTCCAAAGACATTCCTAGTGAGAACTTGTTAATAAATTATGCTGATCAGTTTCTTCCATATTGTTTGGTCTTCAATAGGTCTATACAAATAATATTAAGATATCCTCCCACGATGGCTTTGACTGGAGAGGAGAAGCAGCTACTCTGGAAATTTCGATCTGAGAAAAGGGCACTTCCCAAATTTTTGCGCTGTGTTAAATGGAGTGATGATGTCCAGGTAAAATTTCCTAATAGATGACACATCCCCCTGCATCTCTAATATGTTGTATCTTCATTTTCTCATTGTATCAGTTTGTGGATTTGAGGGTTTGATATAATTCTCCTCACATTCCTGTGAAATAATCTTCCTTCAAACAGTAACAAGTTTGTTGATATTATCTATAGGAAGTGAAGCAGGCATTGGAACTCATGGGAAAGTGGGTGACAATTGATGTCTGTGATGCATTAGAGCTTCTATCCCCAGTGTAATGCCCCGTTTGACTATGAAATTTTTGAAGATTATTTATCATTATTATTATTATTATTATTATTATTATTATTTATGTGTTATTATAATTATTATTTATTGAATGCTATAAATTATTAATTGTCGTGTGATTTATTTGTCAAATTGCTTAACTGTCTAAATGTTATTTAAATTACCAAATTGTAATTAATTGCCTAATTGCCTAAGTATTATTATTTAATTAAAAATGTATATTTGTATTTTATTAATATTATTATTTTTAAAAATTTAATTGTGTATATATATATATGATCCGATTTAACTTATCAGGCCCGAGAAAAACTGTATTGAAGCTACGTCTAGACGGGCCCTAGAGCCGAATCGTTTCATTGAACCAACCCCGAATCGCGCGACCCGGCCCGTCAGACCCGACCCGAACCGCCCGCCCAAGTATTTGTGGGCCTACAAGACTTTTTAACCCTAGCTTAATTATTTTTTTTTTCTCGCTCGCGATTTCAGTACAGAGAAAATCATATCCCCGCAGTCTTTTCCTTTTTCCATGTTTTCTCTCGATCGCGTTTGAGCAAGAACAGAGAAAATCCTTTGCCTTCATCGTCCCTCAACCTCGCCATCCGTCGCGGCGACCAACTGCTCCATCTCCGGCGATTCCAGCAGCAACGCCGTGAACCAGTCCCGTCACGCAGCAACCCCTCCTCTGCGGCGACCCTCCGCCGCGAAGCCACCGCAAGCAGAGCCATCCCCGACCCCGGCCACCTTCTCGCGACGAGCTCTCTCCTCTCCGAGCCTGTGATTTCCGACCGTTGTGACGAGCAGCTTCGTCAGACCTTCCAGCTGTTCTCAATTCCGGCGAGCCCTCCGCCATCGCAGCAGCCCTCCTTTGCTGCGGACAGCCACCCCGTCGCGACTTCCGGCGATTTTTCCTGTTCGAGCAGCAACGCGCCGCGGCCAAGCCCTCACGCCGCGACATCAGATCCTTTGCCCCGCCGCGTGTTTCTCTCAACGGCGAGCAGCAGGTCCCTCGTCCACTCGCGAGCAGTACTGCCGACGAACAAGACGAGATGAATTCTTGTTGGCGACCTTCACAAGCAGTTGCGGCCCTCGTTCTATCCATTCACGTCGAGAAATCCTTGTAAGCGAGCCCCTGTTCAAATTTCAAATTTCACCGAACCTCCTTTTCGAGCTGCAGCAGGCAGCCCGAACGTCAGCGGCACCCCGTCGGCCCTCGTTCGCAGCAGCCGTCCCTTCACAGCAGCGGCCAGATTCCTTTTTCCGTCGAGCAGTGGCCTTTCGGGCGCGTGCGAGGATAACAACGGGCAGCCTTTTGTCGTAAGGGTTAGCAGCGGTAAGCCGTCGAGCCCCCCGTTGTGCGCCGTCAACCCTCGTTCGACCCGACATCGCGACCTGCTCCTCCGCGGGACGTCACTCTCAGCCCTCGACCTTCAGCGAGCTCCGTCAGGCGCAAACGGACGAGTTGTCCATTCCGCGAGATAGCCGTTCGGCCCTTCGTTTTCGTTTTCGATCGAATCCCGAGAACGGTACAACCCATCTCGTTTAATCCTATATTATTTTATGTGTTCGATTATGTGAAATGGGTGTTAAACGTGCTTCGTGAATTTAAATTCGTGCCTTAGTTGAGTAATTGTATGAATTTTATTTTATATTCGCGAATTGGTTATCAAAGTGATTGCCGTCATTTTGAATAATTATCGAACTGAACATTTGTGGTTCGTTTCGTAGAAATCCTGGAGTTATAGGCACTTGGAGTTGTCCTTGATTTGTTAGTTTTGGTATGAAGTCGTTTCGAGTTGTATTTTGGGAGTTATGATTTTTCTAAATCGAACATGCTGCTGAATCGTAATAAATTCACCATAAATCGAGTTGTTATCCATTTGAGTTGAATTTTTGATATGTTGTGCCTCGGAGTATGTGGAATATGTGTGCCAAGCCCCTGATTTTATTTTTGAATTTTTCGAGTTCAAATGCTTAAAACGGTTTCTGTTCAGAAACTTGTAAAATTCATTAAAAATCTTACACTTGGAGTTTTGAGCTGAAACTTTCAGGAACCTGTTATTTTGTGATGTTTTAGGCTGTGCAAAAATTTCAGATCAAAATTAGAAGTGTAGCTATGCGAACTGTTAAACGCTGATTTTGGCGCTGTTTTTGCCTTAATTATTTAAAAATGTTCCCGGATGAATTTAGGGCTTAAACTTGGTGAGTTTATGTGTTTTTGCATGCTTTATAATGTGGTAAAGTTTCAGGTTAATTGGCTGGGCCTAACTCCTAATTCTGAATTTAGTTTATTTTGGAGTCTTATCGGTTATCGGTTATTTGAGTTAGGATTGAATTTTATTAATGTTGGCATGACTTATGTGTATTACCTGAGGTAATTGAGTTGTGTCCAGGTCTGGTAGTCACTCCATAGTACCTAACTCGGTTGAGGAATCCACGAGTCACTTAGTCGATGTGAATTCGGCTAAGTATATGTGCCTTATGTGCTGTTTCGTATTGAATAGTAAGTGATAGGTTATTATAAATTGTTGTAGGTCCTTCGAGCTGAACTTTTGCCATAATTCCTTCAACTCTGTGTTTGGCTAGACCTCTTGCTACATTCAGGTGGGTTTTATTTGAAAAGTTTCTATGCAGTAATTAATTGTTATTGTTGTGGTATGATCAAAGTATGCATGTGAACCATGTAGCCTTCAATGTGAGCTATATTGGCCATCGAACGGTTATCCTCGTAGCTATAGAACGTACCCGATGGGGTGTCTCCTTTATTATATATGGCAGTCAGAGCGTGAGCCTTAGTTGGTGATCCTCGATGTAAGTCTAAAGGGATGTTTCCGGGCATTCGGGGTAGATTTACTCCCAATGTCTGGGCATCGAATGTAAGGCCCGCGGGGGTTTTCGATACGTGTATCAGCAGTGGTCTATTGGTATAAGTGTGCACATGAGAGTTGACTCTGGGAAGGAGATGAGATATTAATTGATTTGTGTTCATACTGCGACCATACCTGCTTTATTTTATGAAATTTAATATTAATTATTGCATAGTGGTGAACACCTCGATTTCCTATTGTGCTCATCCCCACCAGCTCTTCAATGATGCAGGTTAGTAATTGCGGGCACGACAAAGGGAGGCGAGTGGTGGTCATGTTATCGTTTATTTCCGCTGCATTAAATTGCTTATTATGATTTATGCATTCCTGACTTATGTTGAGTACTGGATTATCTATAGGGAGTGTACTCCCTAGTATTTATGGATTTGATGAAGTCGTTTTTGGGTGTTGATGTCACGAACCGGTTTGGGTGTTGACTATTTATGAGTATTGAACCTGGTTGGGTGTTGACTATTCATGAATTCTGAACTCGTTGGGAATTGCATATGTGAGATTGTTGGAATTGTTTTTTTGAAAATGAGTAGGCCTCAAGTGTTTTGAAATAAATTTTGAAAAATTTATTCTGAATAAATAACAGTGGGGCGTTACAGCCAGTTTCTGAGTGTGAAGAGGTTAATTA